TTTTTCTCATACAAAAGTTGTCTTTCAAAGCGTTTTCAACAAATTTTGGTGTTTTCTAAGCGAACTTAGATTTTTATATTTTCTCCTGCGTTTATATTCTATTGTGCTTTCTTTGATCCTCATAATCATGATAAACATTATCTTTTAATCCATATCAAATAAAACTACATGTTTTTATCCTGTAATCTATAGAGAGGTCTTGCATAGTATGGGAAGTTCTTCACAAATCGATTCAAACTTCCATTTGTGTCAATATATAAGAGAAAGCTTAATGTGAACATACTCTAGGTTACTCAGTTACCATTGGGTTTCCCAACAGATTGAGTTCGAGCGGTATTCTCTCATTTGCGAGCGTAAAGTCGAAAACTTAAAGTTTATTAAATTAGATGATAGTTTATTTTTTAATTAATTTGAATTTTTCCGATTCAAAGCGACTGAAAGTGTCAAATTTTCGATTTCGAATTCGTTAAAACTCATTACTTGAAAAGAACTCCGAAAATCAAAATCGTTTGCTTTTATTATTTAATATTTTTTAGTGAAACGAATTTTAACAACCATTTTGTTTGAAGAATTAAAATTTGTAGAGTTCGCTCTTGTTTCCTATGTAATTTCTATATTTTAGTTTAGGAAGATGTAGAGTTCGCTTGATATATGCTTACAGAGTTTCAATGTATTCAGATTTTATTAGTAGAGTGTGCTAAACTACGTAGTGCTCTTCTCCTTCTTCTGAACTAACGAGGGAACCCCACCAACTGATTAAAAGCTTTCTGACTCATATTTACACCATAAGTAGTGCTTAGTGAGGCTAGATGAATCTTAAAAGGATTTCCTTGAATGGGCCTATTTGGCTAAGATATGAACATTTCAAGTTTAGGAATGAAAATGTAGATAGATTGGTCATTGTGCATGAATTGTAATGTTAATATGTGTCAAAAGAAAAATCTACTTTGCAAAATACTTATAGATTGAAGTGTTTTACGCATTTCTCCGAAATCATCCTGAGAGTGGTGTAGACATGCCTGAAATCTTTTTATTCGCTGGTGTAATAGATTGAAAAGTTAAAACAAATACTGGAATCGTTACGACAACTGAAACACGGGTTGTTAGCTGTTTGTACGTAATAGTTTAGTGAGTGTGACAACCAACGAAAAACGGATCAAAATATAGATCTTTTCAACACCCACTACACGTGATGAAAGGCGATTGATTGTATGACTCTTCGCTACCATCTTGGTGTTTCTTTTATGTAGCAGCTAGATCATCAAATAAACATCATAGCATAGTTTTTTCAACAGCTCCACGATTTATTGATGAGCACTTCAACAAAAAAGTATATATTGATATATGTTAGCATCGTAATTCATGGATAACAGATAATCTCTCTACATTTCCGTCCCTAAACTTGAAATGTTCATATCTTAGCCAAATAGGCTCATTCAAAAAAATCCTTTTAGGATTCATCTAGCCTCACTAAGCACTACTTACGGTGTAAATATGAGTCAGAAAGCTTTTAATCAGTTGGTGGGGTTCCCTCGTAAGTCGCTTTATTAAATAAAGCATTATGAAGAACTTCTCAGTATCTCACAACGGTCTTGAAAAGTTCTTCCACTTTGTCTAGTTCAAATATACCTTATCGAATCTATCTCTGTACATATGAGTCTACTACATCTAAGTAATTTCAGAGATTGTCGTTCTTTTTCGTGCGGGATCTCACTCACCCATCGTCCTTGTTGCTGTGATCATAGGTGCTGTCACTGTTGGTATCATATTTATACGTTCAAAGCTAACTTGATCTGGACCAGATGCAACTATCGTAAATCGGTCGGTTCTTAGAGGATCGAAAGTGGTCACAACCAAAATATATGTTGTATTCTGCTCCAAATTATATTGAATTTGAAACTGTCTTTTGCCACCACCGTCATCATTAGTTAAAAGTAAATTGTACAATATATTTGAAGGATCAAAGTTGTTTCTGTAAAGGTAGCCATAAGTATCCGTAAAACTATGACTTGTGAATGTATAATTGTCTGTTATATTGACAGTGATTTGAATCGGTTCGTAGAAGAATCTGCGAGAATCATTTCTTCGAAAGAAAGTATGACTATTTGTATTTAATTCGCTTGAATAATTGCTATAAGTTACATTCTGATCCGAATATTGGTCTAAATAGACAAAGAAAATCTTATGAGATATTATACTAATGCCGAAAACATTTATTCTGTTATCACAAATATCACTTGAGTCATATTAAAGAAGTTAAAGAACTATATTTTAGGACAAGAAGGAGCATTAGCATGATTTATAAGAACAACAGAAGACGAATCGAGTAGTGCTAATTCTTTCCTAACTTCTTTCATCAACAAACGAAGAGAATGTCGAAATCACAACTGATTTCTCCTCGCATCAGGTACATAACAAAGATCGGTACTAATCAGGTTTTGCAAAACACATACCCAGGAGAAGTTCATCAATCAAAATGACCTTTTAGGCGAAACATCTTTGTGAAGAAGTTCAGTGCTTCATGCACTGATATGTGACACATAATAGCCTCATTAACTACTTCTATCATTAGGAAGAATTACCGAAAATATTGAGCACAAAAAATTCTCGCACATTGTTTAGTTCATACATAGTTTCTGTGTTTGATACCACTCACCTTTGATGCGTTCAAAACTAACGTGATCTGGACCTGATGCAATTATCGAAAACCAACCAGTTCTTAGAGGATTGTAAGTAGTCACAATCAAAATATATGTTGTAGTCAGCTCCAAATTGTATCGAATTCGAAATTGTCCATTGTCCCCACCATCATCGTTCGATAGAAGTAAATTGTTTCGTAGGTTTGAGGAATTGAAGTTGTTTCTATAGAGATAGCCATAAGTATCCATAGAACTATTGCTTGTAAATGTATAGTAGCCTGTTGTATTGACAGTAATTTGAATCACTTCGCAGAAAAATCTATCATAATCATCTGTTCGAAAGAAAATACCACTAGTGTTTGTTAGCAAGCTTGAGTAGTTTGTGTAGAAAGCAAAACTATTGTTTGTATCAGCTAGAAATAAAATAGAAAATTCTATAAGGAAAGATGTTTGTGTTTGTTGTTGACGTAATTCTAGTTTCCTTTGAAGAATCTGTGTTTTTATTAGGACATTTCACTACTAAAATGAAGTTTTACATTTAGACAAATGCTCGAAAATTTAATCAAATTCAAATCAATAGAAAATGTCGACTTGTATCTATCAAAAGGTATCACATTGTGTACAAGTCGATTCCACTAGTGATCGAAAAAACAACGCTGACGTTGATTTATATGTATGACTTACGAATTGGCCCTGTGAATATTGCTATTGCCGGTGTAGTCAGTATTGCTATTGAGATGTCTTTTATAGGTTCTAATTGAATCCCAGCTGGGCCCGATAAAGTAATAAAGAATGAACCAGTGTCGAAAGAAACAATAGTAGTCACAACCAAGACGTATGTAATATTCTCTTCAAGTAGTACTCTATGATCGTATTTTTCAACTATGGAATATAGGTTTTCATCGAAGAGTAGATTTTGCGATTTGTTTGAAGGATTGAATTCATTGGCATAAAGGAGAAGATTAATAGATAGTGAGCTATTACTTGAAAATGTATAAATGGCTGTTGTATTCACAGTTATTCGGATCGCTTCATAAAAGTACTTTGCGTTGCCTTCATATTCGAAGAAGTAATAGCTGTTCGTTGTTAAGGTACTTGTATAATTAACAGATGCAATGTCACCATTCAAATAAGTTCCTAAGAATATGGAAAGTAATGAACTCATAATACTTTTCGGAAATCTGTCAGATCTATTGCTGGATTATTTTTTGAGAATATGGTAATTTTCTATTGCTCATAATAAATGGAATAAAGCAGAAAGATCAGCTATTCTATTGGTGTTTTGAAGAATTCATTCCTAGATATGTTTTTACTAGTTGAAAATGTTCTTCGGATTGATAGAAGCCATTCCGGCTTCGTGTTATTCCAACATTCTCCGTTGTTGATGACATAAATGAGAGAAACTTTGTTGAAGAAGATCAGTGAAAGAGTAGTTTGTATAGACATATTGCATAAAGAACGAGTTTTTTATGACGAATTCTATGGAGATCATATCCTTCTAGACTATGTATGAAATGCAAAAAATTCGTTTTTTAAACTTTTTCTAAACTGTACAGAAGAAAATTTTTCTGAAAGTCTTGTTTATTTTAATTCAAGAAAGAGTTTAAATAGTATGTTACGAATATTCTTTGACCGTTTCTTTACATATCTTTGTGGCACTGAGAATCATGATCTATTCCTTTCTACAATCGTATAATTCAGATTCAACTAACAGAAAGATGATAAAATTTTGCTGCAACAATAATCTGGAATATAATGGAATGAAATAATGTGAATAGTGATCTTTCGTAATTGGAAATTGAGAGATGAGAACAAATACAATGCTTTTGTATTCCTCTTGTGGTTAAAGAACTCACTTACGAGAAATTTTTTCCATTCTACGCTTTTTTAAAATAATAATCGAACATTTAACGACAGTGGTGTACTTACCAATTGCAATCAGCTCTTTCATCCTGGTCTCATCAAGTACTGGCATCGGTGGCATATCTGATGTACGTACTAAATTGACTCTTCCAGGACCTGTTATAATAATCGAGAATGGTCCAGTCACACGCGAATCGATCGTCGTAAAAACCAAAATATACGTGAAACTAGGTTTAAGTCGATAACTAATTTGATAATTTTCAGTGGTATTAGTGGACCTAATTATTGCCAATGTATTCTCCATTGGATTTGAACAATTAAATTTATCAAAATACAATATAGCTGCCATAGTAAACGTACTGTACAAAGTGAAACTGTAAATGCCTGTTGTATTGACGGTCACTTGAATTGTTTCGTAGTAGACATAGTGAGTGCTCGAGATTGAAGAATATGACGGATGTGTCATGATCAATGCACTTCTGTAGTGTGTGCTAATATTCATCGAAGAAGACGTATCGTTTGATGCTAGAAATATTGAGAGTAAAAATGTACAAATAAGCTAATTCGATTCTTCCATCAATAAAGAGCTCGTTTTCATTTCAAATAGTTTTGAACCTTTTTCACTGATGTCAAATGAGTCTGTGTTTTTCAGGCGTAAATAAGGACAATGGAAATCTCACCGATAGTTTTCGGTTCTTAAACAAAATATTTTGCCTTTTGAAAAATTAGCAATATGCTATAAAAAATCAATGTTGACACTAGAATATTCATTGATCCAATCTCATTCAGAGTTCTAGAGTACTTGTGATCTTAACTAAACATTGCAAAAATACAGAATTGAAATGATCATCAAACAGGATGCCGCGTAGGAATATAACAAAAGGGAAAAACACAGATGTTCGATCTTGCAAGGAAAGGGCTTTGACTGATAGACATTGATCGAACTGATATTTTATTTTAACGAAAAGGACGAGGCGAATAAGATGGTGAGTCAGCCCATTGGCTTTTTTTTTGTCTCAAACCATGTTGAATTATATGTGGGACGAAATCTGTTGATCGGAACAATATTTTGACACTGAATTCATTAGGTATTATTAGTTGAAGTTTTGTTCACTTAGAGCCAATCAAAAAAGAGGCATAATTTAGCTCTAATATCTCCACTATATCTTCATCTTCCATGGGATTTTGGGTGTTAAATCGTGGAATGGATATTTGTTCATGTGTTAGTCATTTGAAAGAGTTTTCAAGCTGTACAAAACTGCATACCTTTGAACTTAAAAGAAAAACATTCTTTAGTTGAGATATGTCCAGTAAAACTATTCTTAATACATAATTTCTTGTCTTTTGTAGCAATATTTACGTGATCTTGACCAGAAAGAGTTAATTTGAGTCAAAATATTATCAAATTCAAAATCAGCATGAAAAATTGAGTCAACGTATGTATATTTCAAATTGTTTCGGATGGTTCCAGTTTTCTTCGAAAAACTAACCCCTACTTCCATCTCAGGAATACATCAAGGAAAATGAAATCGGTGACAAAGTCACTTTGTAGGTGTAAATAAACTCCGGAGCTTCTGAAATACAAGTAGAATATAAAATGAGTTACGAACAAAGTATTAAAAAAGGATATATTCTTGAGATGAGAACAGGAGTCAGTTTTTGGAAGAAAAATGAAACCACTCGAAACGATTTAAAATACACATAGGTTAACTCAATTTTTTATGTTGATTTCAAATTCTATAGTATTTTGACTCAAATTAACTCCTTCTGATCAAGATCACGTAAATGTTGCTACAAAAGACAAGAAACTATGTATTAAGAATAGTTTTACTGGACATATCTCAACTAAGGAATGTTTTTCTTTTAAATTCAAAGGTGTACAGTTTTGTACAGCTGGAAAAGCTCTATCAAATAACTAACACATCAATAAATATCCATTCCACGATTTAACACCTAAAATCCCATGGAAGATGAAGATATAGTGGAGATATTAGAGCCAAACTATACCTCTTTTTTGAGTGGCTCTAAGTGATGAAGAAAACTTCAATTAATGATACCTAATGAATTTAGTGTCAAAATGTTATCCTGATCAACAAATTTCATCCTATATATAATTCACCATGGTTTGAAACGAAAAAGATAATGGGTCAATTCGCTATCTTATCTGTCCCTATTCTTTCGTTATCAATGAAGACATTCAAAGACGATTGGATGTTTTGAAATTTTTCGAGAAAAAAGGGATTCTTTTGAAGATAATAAATTTCCAAGGGCAACTATTTTTCGTAAAAAGTCAGTAAGAGCAGAATTATTGTAAATTCAATCTTAAGTAGGATGCACGTGTTTTGTTGGACACTTTCACAATATTCGAGTGATCCTGAGATCTATGCAAAGTTGAATATAATATCAATATTCATAGCTTTGACGTTGATTATCAACCGACGCAATAGGAGCAATATCTAATAAAACAGTTCCAATGGGGAAACAATAGATAATGGTGATGAGTCACACCTCTTAACTTCCTGGTACCTACCTCAGGGTTTCATTAGTAACCTCTTGGGGCCTACCTTAAGGTACTATTGGTAACTACCTGAGGGGTTACTTGGAAGTAACATTAAGATCTTCTTAGGGCCTATCTTGGGGTACTAATAGTAACATCCTGTGGCATATCTGAGATTACCACTAGTAACTTTCTGAGGGCTATCTTGAAGAAATAAAGGCAGCTCCTTCGGGCATAATTCGGGATTCTAAACGTGACCTACTGATAGCTACCTGGGGCTACTAAAGGCAATTTTTAGAGGAATATCTAGGGTACTCAAGATAATCGTTTTCAAGGTTATTTTGAAGTTAGGTATGTTAAAGCTCAGCTCTAGCTGGAGTGATCTAGTGCTTCTTGAGCAGCTCATGGAACTGTCCGCTGGTAGGCTTTCTCTGCTATGGTAAGGGCAACACAGACTATTGTTCGGATCGTATGAGAGAGTGCATCAGATAATCCATGGATTGGCCCGAACGATGACATATTGTTAGCGCTCACTTTGATTTCAGTTGTCTTTTCTTTTCGTCTGGAAGAATGTCATCTTCAATAACATTCTTTGCTCTTCTTTCTTTTCTCTCTCGATGTGTTTCTTCTACTATGGATATCGCTCGTTTTTGTTATTCATTCACTCATTTTTTTTTCTTTGGTAAAGTTTTTTTTTCGAATACATTCGTTACAGTGCAGTTTCTCTCTCCATCGACAGACTGGGTTTAAATCATTTCATACAGAGACCTCACACATGTTTTATGCTTACGATAATGTGGCAAAACTCTGCTGAAAACTGATTGACTAAGAGCTTTTTGAATCAACCAATCAGATTTCAGCAAGGTTTCTTCACATTATTGTAAGAATAAGACAAGTTTTTCTCTGGATCAGTTCATGGGTTATCTTTCGCCCTCCCTCATATGGCACGAACATTAGTCTGTGTTGCCCTTACCACAGTAGAGAAAACCTATCAGTGGACAGTTCTATGAGCTAGTCAATCATCTCTAGTTCACGAGAACTAGAGCTGAACTTTGACATACTTAACTTAGAGATAGTCTTGAAAACGGTTATCTTGAGTACCCCAGATATTTCTCCAAAAATTGCGCTTAGTAGCCCCAAGTGGCTACCAGTAAGTTACGTTTGGCACCCAGAGTTATGCCCGAAGGAGCTACCTTTATTACCTCGAGATAGCTCTCAGAAAGCTACTAATAGTACCCAAAGTTAGGTTCCATATAGTTACTAATAATATCTTGAGATACCCCCGAATTATAGGTAAAGAAGAAGCGCTCACATTCATCTGAACATGAGCATGACCTGTGTACATCTATGTCTAAGTGTTGATAAGAATATCAACTTGAAAAAAAGATTCTGTATAATATCAGTTCAGAATGGAATCGCGTTTAATTCTTTTCTGGTTTCCGTCAGAGAGAATCAATAAAAGAAGCCTAGAGAAAAATTTCCTAATGGAAAGTAACTTCTAAAGTAAATCTTTATAAGTATGGATGAAATACCTGTTGTTGATATGTGTGACCCATTCCCTCGGCAAAGAAATCTAAATTCAGCTGGGCCTGAAGCGATGATTCTGTATGGTCCAATCATGTCAGGATAAACTGTTGTAACAACCAATATATATGTCACATTAGGAACTAGAGAAACTGTAAATCGAAATTGCCCATTGCCACCACTATCATCATCAGCAAACAGCAGATTCTGATCTGGAGAAGATGGATGAAAACTGTTGTTGTACAAATATCCATATGTATCTATGATTCCATCACTTGTGAAACTGTAATTATCATGAATTGGAACAACAAGACGACAGGCGTCATAATTATAGTATTTATCATGCACTGACGGGCCATAACGCTTATAAGACAAACCAAATTTAACCCAATTAGATGAATAGACCTCATTGAATAGATGTGGGTTGTCCGCTTATAAAATTAAAAAAGAAAAAAAAAATTTCAAAATTCATATGATATGTTGTTTTGATCGGTCATTAAAAGAGGATTCACTCGATTCATCATAACCAAAGATCGAGTTCAGTTACATTTCCAAAATAATCTGACTTGGCAAAGATTCAATGCTCAAACAGCTAGAACAAATGAGTCCAAGCGTTTCGAAATGAATTTAGTCGTAATTTTCTAGATTTATGATTACACTTTTTCGAATCAGACTATCATATCAATATCTTATAAAACTTCATCTGCATAAATAATTGTTGAATATGAGATTTTTGCTACAAACTCAGTATTAAGATCTCTCCATCAAAAACCAATTTCACATCAAGTTAAGTGAGACAACCTAGAATTTTCAGGATATGTTGGGACTATAGTGAGAAGAATATGATAAATTTTCAGCTTTATGTCATGATGTGTGAGAGAGATATTGATCAAACGAGAGTCAAAAATAGTTCATTTGGCAAGCCAAATTTCTCTCTTGGCTCTCATGCAATGCATTTAATATTTTTTTTTGTTTGAAAGCGCCTGTCAGAATGCATGACATCGCTGAGCGGTTTTTTTTTGAAATTCCTACTTTTTATGTAAAAAAAAAGTGGTCACAAGTTGATAGTATAGAAAACTCTCAAAAAACGTAGTATATGTATATAAGTGCTTGAACACCAAAGCATAATTTGAGAAAGAGACTGCCATAGTCTGTGCCTTGATATGCTCTCTCAAACAAAAAAAGAGTATTAAATATATTGTATGAGTATCGAAAGAGAAATTTAGAATGCACGATTTAAAAAGCACAAACTGGGAAAAAACCAGAAAGATTTTCCGTTTTCTCCGGAAAACGCATATTTTTCAAGTAAAATATGACGAAAATCATCGATAAAACAAAATACAGAATAATAAATCATAGGATTTCTGGAAGAGCAGACTTCAGACAATCTTCCCATGTATTTATTTCTGTTTTGGCAGAAGGAGATCTTGACGAAAATGGTTATACTAAATACTTGTATGAACCATCATTGCAAAAACTTTTTCGTCTGAGAAAGAAAGAAATATTCAATTTGGAGTTTGCAAGGTTGTCTTCTCTAATTCGAACTATTGTTCTAAAATCAATACCAAGTTTGTCCTATACTTAGATAGAAACAAGTGCTTGCTGGGTTTCATTCGTAAAACTATCTTCGATATTGTATAGAGAAAATGATGAAAGAGTATTGAAATTATTCAACAAGATTATAACTTACCATTGTTTTTGACTGTTGTTTGAGTCAAGGACAAATTCTTGAAAAAAAAAAGAATTAAGTTACACATGTTTTTAATGCCTAACAATGATCCATTGATTAGGTGTAATGCATTTTTATCAATAGTACATTTTATTGAATAAATCCATGTTTCATTATTCTAAGATTTAGTCTATAAGAATGCATGGACTGTTATGTTAATATCGACTTTAATTGATAAACTTGTTCTACGTAGAGATAATTCCCAGATTGAGAGTTGATTTCTTGAATACGAAATGTTAACCCTTTACCCCCACGAAAGTTCTCGAAGAGCTAGGAGTAAGCCGATCATTAATTTTAGGACTGTTAATCATCAGTATGCTTCTGCTATACTAGTCAAAACACACAGTTGTTTGTACTTAGTACAATACAATGTCCACTGGGATGGACATAGGGGGAAGTGACTCAAAATTGGTCTTCCTTACAATTTTCTATTCGTAAAGAACTATCGTTAATACTCAAGAACTTTATTGATATTTCTATTTTTTTGAAGTTTTCGAAGTTGTCAAGTCTCGTAACCAGATAACGGAAGGAAATATGTAGAATTGATGGTAAATTTAGGGAGAAGGATGTCACTCATGCTACCAGACTGCTTGTTATATTTTGATTGAAGTTGTGCACATATGATTTGTTTGTAGCATTATAGACAAGAAGTGTCATGAGTCATTTGATTCTCACTGAAGTTGCCATCAATGACTGAATTTTCCTTTTACTGTCTGAAGAGAGGAACTGTGCGCTTCGAAAAATCGAAAGAAATCGAGTTAAATATATGGTATACTCTAATTAGCGTTCTTGTTTCTCAAAAATACTATTAAATGGTCAAAACAAACCGTTTCTATGCGTGTACATGAGTAATGTTGTTTATTGAAAATGACCATTTTCATGTCACTCTTCCCCTCCCCGCACTGCAATGTTCACCAGGATGGACATTGTAGACTCATGAGGATTGTAATCTGGTATCTCATTCATAATTTTTATAAAGTACTTTGTCCGACTCATGAGCATCGCAGGATTTTGAAAGAAAGGTTGGGTAATTGAAAAATTCACTTTTTGTTTTAACTAGCTCGACCATACGCTACATAGAAATGATTTTATTTAATTACCAATCGATAGTGTATGAAGTTCTCTACAACCAACATAAAGTTCATTTTGGATTATACGCTTTAATTTTTTTCAGCAGCGTATATACCAATGTCCACTGGAGTGGATATTGGAAAGTAAAGGGTTAAAGAAGTAATTTTTAAAAGATTTTTAGATGAATGTTGAATTTTCAAAAGATTTCAACCGACTTATATGATGAAAGATCAAATCTGAATTAAGAATTGATTAAATTTACACCGTGCTTGCTTTCATTCAAATTTCTATTCCTTTACAAACATATTTTTTCATTTCTACTATTATCGATAATTTTGAAAGGAATCTGAAGAATTCAAAATATTTTGAACTTGTACAATTTATAATTATAAGACCATTTGAAAAAATCTTTTCTAAACAGGATATGTCCTTCTAGATTACTATAAGAGGTTCCCTCAAATAAGAATTATTTCTTTGTGTTAAACTCGGTTCAATTTCTATATGTGATCGATACTACCAAGAGCTGAGAACGGGGCAGGATAAAGTTTCGACGAGACGAAGCGGAGCGAAATTAAACTAAATCTCCGAGTTTTTCCCGTATGAAAGTTTTACAATGTAAATATCCATATCGAGCACATTTATACATGATGATCAATACAAATTTTTATGACCACTGTGTTAGGTGGAGTGAAGGAAGAGCAAGGTGATTTCTGATTTTTTTTCGATAGCTTTTGCTTCCTTTGATTTGTGGTGATTCTCATGATTTCTGATTTTGTAATTGATAATAAAATAAAATCTTATTCTCACGGGTAACCTATTAGAATGAAATATAGTTGTTTTATTTTTGTTGGAAACTAGAATCACACCCGAAAGATTCTATTCTGAGCTCATTTAATATGAATTTTTTTGCTCTTTATGTTTACCGACGTTTTGTTCAGATATGCGTTTTTGTCAATGAAGGTTGAAAAGACTAATCTATTTTGAATTGTCTAATTGCAACGATGTCGAAACCGAAGCTGATGAACCTTTTTGAGATAAACACTCTGTCGAAATTTGAAAATACTACAAAATTGTTCTCGAATTTGTCAACCTGTTAACTTATGTTCATAAGTTTTTGAAAAAAAATATTTAAGGGAAAATTTTATGAATAATAGGTCGACGCTCTCCTAAAAAACTTTTTCTCTAATAAATCCTAGGGAATATTTGTTCTTGCCTCTCAGCAACTCAGTGCTCACTAAGTCTTAGAGTTCGCAACTAAGTAATCGCGTACTTGTTAGCTCGACAAAGTTTTGCTGACCAGAACAACTTATTTGAAAAATCAAGTTGGAAATTTTGCAGGATGGAAAACGCGCTAACTTCCGTTGAGTTTTAACAAAATCTTTGAAATACACTTTTAATTTCCATAAAAACAAAATAAAAGTGTATCATTCTTTGTACATCACTCGTTGGATGTTAAAGCCATGCTCGTCTTTTCTAAGCACATTTTGAAATCGTAGTAATTTATAAAAAGAAAAAAACTAGGATTTTTCGTTTTTCGTTTATGTTTAAATGCTTTCTCAATATTAGAACTGATATATACAATATATTTGAGCAATATACAAGGATTACAAATGTTTTATGAAAAAGATTTTAGCTAGTATCTTGTTTGATTTCTATCACCCTCAAAAAAAGGTATAGTCCCGAAGCTTTTTAAGTTCTCTAGCAGGTACGAAACTTAAAACGATTCTTCCCTCGGACATACGGGCGAAACCTTTTCTACGAAAATCTTAAAGGTTTCATGTTGAATCTCAGTGGTTTCGTATTTTTGATGCCGAACCATTTTTCATCGCATGATTCTTAAAAAGGTTCGGTAGAAAAGATTTTACCCGTTTGCTCGAGAAAGAACCAATTTTGGGGTTTCATAGCTGCTGCCAAACTTAAAAAAAAGGTTTGGTAGTATATCTTTTGTCTAGAGTGACGATTCCAAAATGGTTGGTTGAGTCAACAACCACTTTGTTTTCCCTTGACGAGCATTGTGTTTCTGCTTTCTCATCATATTTTTATTCACAAATATCCATCAATATCAAAGGTTGAGAGGAAGCGTCAAGTTAAAATGGCTTTCGACTTGAAGAAAATTTTTCTCGAAGCGAGGCGGGACGAGTCGGAAATCAAAATATCGTTCTTGTTCTAGGTTTTGATACTATCATACGAAAATGCATTACGAAAGTCATTGACATTTAAAGTGATTATCTGTGAACTAACAAACCTCCGATTCTTGATATCCATAAACTTGTACCACAATGACCAAGCCAATGATGATGACAAAGGAACACATAGACATCATTGTATTGAATGTTGCACCCACACTCAAAGTTTCTTTAATAGAATCTAGTTAATCGAACAATACGTATAGCAAATGTCCCTAATAATGATGCAAAAACAATTTATGTATTGTTAATGAATGCTCAATTTATATATATAAAGAAGAATGTTTGTCTGTCTGTTCGTTATGCATTTGATCCCTGTAAGCACTTTCATCACCAGCTTTCCACGGCATACCTTAGGGCCAGAGAAAGATTGAGCCGGGATCGACGCGGCCAGGAAGTGGGCAATGAAAGGTTTGGGTGAAATTCTATCCAGATTATGATATACTGCAGTTTACACCGATTTTTCAAAAATTCTGAAGAATTTTCTCAGACTTTAGTCTATCTTCTTTCCGCTTACATCTCTTTGTGTTGTCCATGGATTAGGAGCTACTGTTTGTTCGAAAGTTTCTACGGCCGGAATGCTGGGTGATCTCATTATGGAAATATCACAATATATCTCCTATCGGAAAAGTTCAAGCATGCCGTTGTTTTGTTAATAAATCGAGAATGAACGAAAATAAAAAACTGAGGTGTTCACGTTTGCACACAAGAGATCCTAGGGTATGAACCCATACCCAAACTTGATTGGTCTATTTGTTGATCGATCGAATTCTAGCACACTTTAATGGTCAGTAATATTCCTTTGGTCAAGTTTTCAACGATGATGTTTCAAAACGAGAAGAACGTTTTATAAAGAGACGTTTTCTTTCAAAACTAATGCAGAAATGATTCAAATAGAGATAAGGAAAGTAGCCTCGGAACTAAAGTCTCCTGCAAGGATTAGAACATGATCGGGATCGGGACCCGTTTTTTTTTACCAGAATTGCAACCAAGAGTTTTTTGTTAGAAATAATAATTTATACGTTCCTCTAAGGTTTCGGCCGAATGTCATATTGTCACAACTCATGTGTGATATTTTTCTAAAACACTAGAAAAATTATTATCTAGAGATAATCAAAGAGCATCCTAGACCCGAAACGGGACCAAGTTGTCTTTTTGACTGGAATGAGGATAGAACCAAGACAGCATCGGGGCCGAGGTAGAATAGGGAAAGAGTCGGAACAAGATCAGGATCAAGGCCAAGATGAGATCAGTACTAAGACTAGGATAAGATCAGAACCAGGAGTGGGATGGAAGTGAGATAGGAGCAGGATCGAGATGCAAATAGTGCTTAAATCTTTCTTTGGCCGTGATTGAAATTCGGAAAGACTAATCCCAGGCATATCTCAATTCAAAACGCTCACTTAAGAGATTTATCAAAGTGGTCATAGTAAAATGTCAAAACAGAAAATAGATGACAATAAGGTGAAAGCCGAGCGTATTTTACGACATTCAAGATCAGTAACCTATGAGAGATCATAAGACCATCGTTTTCCAATATTTCAGGCATGCAATGTGAAATTTTCCTGAGTAACGCCGGGTATTCCACTAGTTAAAAATATTTTTGTATCTGCATAAGCCTAGAAGTGTGCTCTTGCTTTCTAAAATGTATCAGCTAAGAAATTAGTGGTATATGATCACTACTCTACTGCATCGTTATTGCAAATAGTTTCTCTAATAACGACACCAAGCTAAATTAGTGTACTTAACAATGAGAACCAGCGAATTTTTGGCCCTAATAACCACACATCTACTAAAAGTAACTGTATTACTTTGAATATGATAAAGATTAATTGTAATTTTAATAGTCTGAGAAATTGTAATCATTTTCCACAATGCTTTTAAATATTTTCTGATAAGTCAATTTTTCATATCTGGAGTTCCTCTCAAGTAACTATTCGAGAAAAATTTTTGTCTTTGTTCCATATGTTGTCTTTATAGATCACTAGAATTGTGTGAATTGATTAAGAGTATCACATTGTTTTTCAAACTCACCGAATAATCAGAAAAAAAATCTTGCGCATTCTTAGAAGGCCTAAAAAAACCAGTTTTGGCTCTAAAAGATCACTAAAACTCGGTGAGAACTCATTGAAAATTGGCTCATTCGACACAGATTTTTTTCTATTACAATCTGCAAAAGCTTCGAATCGATGCTTTCTCTTAGTTTTAAGGAAACGCTTTTTTTCTACGTTATTGGAAAGTTGGCATATGAGGCTCAATCTTACCACTTTTGGGGAAAGAAAAACTTAATGAGTTTCCTTGGCACGAAATTAAATGACTATCTTCAAAGTGAACCCAATTTACGTTGGAAAAAGACAAGCAGTTTTCTGGACATATTTAACTCTTTCACTCTGTCCCCTCAAGGGATGCTCTGTGTGTTTGTATCATTCAACTGAAGATTTTCGGAAAGTTATCTGGTCTCTTGAAAACTGATAGGAAACGTCATCTGAAATCATTACATTAGATATTGAGTCGACATCTATGTGTATGGTAAAAGTATTTGTCGTCAGGTGATTGAAAAGAAAATAAAGGAACAGCTCCTCCATCAAGAGTGGAAATCAGAAGGGAAGACTTTGGATTAATGAGCAATGGAATATCAAGATTGGTTGATTGACGAGCATTGCAAGTTGATCAATTCGGTATGTCATTCGATCAGACCATGGATGGGGTGAAACGAATAGCGTCAATCGAAAGAAAGTTATTCCTTTTCAGGAAACTCTATCCATCGCCAAATGAAGATGTTTGAATTGGTTCCGGCAAGAAAATACCGAAAATAAGTTAAACTTGTGTCAGTATTCTGCATTGAAAAATTCTCGTAATTTTTCGACACCGTTTCACCAATTTCATGTACTTTCTAGAGGAGAATGGCCAGAAGACATGGGAAAATTCCGAAGAATTTTAGCCGGCAATACTGCGTTCAAGTTTCATTCATTTACGAAGTTTGCCTACGGAATACAGTAATTTTTTTCGCATTTTTCAGACCGACTCTGGTAGAATCTGTTGATTTTCGGAGTCCAGATTTGCCGATCTGGATTCAGATACTCGATGTTATGTTGTAGGAAAATGTGTCAAAGTTTATCTTTTAGCTAAATCTGTCTGTCGAATAGAATATCTAACATCGACTCATCATAATTAATGGTCTCTAGCATCAAAGCTTGAAGCGAAATAGTTGAGATTTATCGAATCAATTTGAGTTTTTCTGGTTCGGCCGAATATTAGTGAAATATGCTCTTAACTTCTAATTGACTACGTATATGAGATAGAACGCTTACATGTAATAGAATAGTCTCATGTATATTCTTTTCAACTAGACTGGAATAGTTTATTATGTATAAGGAAATAAATTATGCTTAATGTCCTATTTATTTTTCCATATTGTCATCACAATGTAAATTAAAAGTTACTCTACCAAGGTAGACACATTCTCATGTATATACATAATAATGTGTGTTAATCTTATTAAGCTAACTTTTGATCTACTCATAATAAAACAGGTGAGTAAACTAAAGTTTTCTCCTAATGGTTGCTCATTTAAATTTATGTTTTAAACCGAAACTAAAACTCTCAAAAACAATATAGTAATCGATAAATCGCTAAGCATACATTACCTATATATGGCTCTGCAACTGTTTGTGTTTTTAATGTACATTAGAAAAAAAGAGTGCGTTTATATATCATACTTTTTTCTTCGTTAAGTCAGTATTCTATATGTGATATTAGATTACAATGAAGAGATTCCCCGTTGTATTGATTTTCTTATCTTCGAACTGTAATTGAAAAAGTATAACATATTCTTTCCATTGTAGGCAAGACTATAACCTTACGGATTAGATTATAAACTACCTACATGCATGAAAAACAAATACAATTTATGAGATAAACAAAGTGGCAATAAATTGATTTATGAGGGAATATTCCCAAGTGATCCTTTCCGTTTTGATTCATTCATACCTCGTTCGATAGAGTATATTAAAATAAGAAAATGTCTAAAAGGATTCGCGCCCTTTGCCTACCAGTGAAGATTTATGGCCGCTTTACTGAAATTTTTACTGTAGGTCAGGCATTTTGAAAAAACACAAAACAAAGAGTTTCGAGTTGAAATTTGACCCATAGATAAATTTTGTACTCATTAGATAGTCTTGAAAGTTTCAACGAAAACGAACATGCCTTTCTGAAGTTATTCAATTTTCAAAAACAAGACACCTGTTTACCATAGTAGAGCACAACAATTCAGTTTAGTTGAACATGGAATATCTCGAGAAAGACATGTTTGTTTTTGTTAAAACTTTCAAAACTATCTAATGACTATAAAATCTATCTAAAGGTCAATTTTCGACTCGAAACTCTTCATTTTTGGTTTTTCTCAAATGCTTTACTCACAGTAAAGATGTCACTAAAACGGTCGTAAGGGCTTGGATGTGTTTATGAATTAAAGATCTATTAGGCATATTCATCCACACCCATACCCATCCGCTCTTCTTACAGTTGCTGCAAAAATAGCCAATGATAAATAAATATCGTAATTTTCCAATTCGATGGTTTTTAAACACTAATGATAACAGCTGAACGGAGTATAAAAAGATACATCTCAAACATACGAGCTCATTTCTTTCTTTTTTTCTATTATCAAGGCACTTCATTTAGTCTCTCAAATTATCAAGGTGAGGATCATAGATGCTTTAATAAAGTAGTTAAAATAGAGATTTTTCACAAAAGAAGAGCTTTTTTAAGAAAAGAACAATTTTTTATAAAGTTTGATTAAAGGTTTTAGGAGTTGAAAAATCCGAATCTGAAATCGGTTTTTCAAAATTTTGAGTTCAATCTTTTTTTTACAAAAGAAGAGCTTTTTTAGGGTGTGGGTGGGTGTAGATAAAGAGTAGACTCACCCATACCCACCAGACACTCACACCCACACCCTTGTTTGACTTAAAATAGTAAGAGACTCAACTGTCAACAGACTCAATCGTTTAGGGCTCAAATGTGTGTGCTCAACTATTATGTCACCTGAAAATAAATGAGATATTTTTAATCAGCATATTTGGTACTATTGAATTATGAAGACTTTTGATAGAATGATGACAAAAATTTTTTTGATACCTGAAGGAGACCTCTTGTGAGAAAAGTTAGATTATGATAAAGTAGAAAATAAAATTGTGAAAAATATTCAGAGTTCAATGCTAATTCTCAAAGTACTAAAATTAGATTAACATTTTTTGGAGCCTTCAATCTATAATTCGACGCATTAGAATGTGATTAATGTTTGATAATAAGCTAATAAATCAATAACCATCAAGTATCATACTTCACTTTACTTTACTTTACTCTATTTTTCTGGTAAAATAGATTTACTTTACTTTATTAAGTAAAGATGAAGTGCCACCCTCACTTCACACGCTTTTAATACAAGTTTAAATAAAAAGAAACTCTCTTCAAACATTCTATACGAAATTTAGATGTGGTTCCTCTCAACAATTTTTTTTCTCAGGCTTCCGCCGTGGTTCCCGGATGTGCCTTTTTGAAAGAAAATGTTTTTTGCTAAAATGTATATGATATACCGTAGTTTTTCTGTGCTGATTCCAAATATGATATTCATTTCGCTCTCAGCTTGAGATTAAATGAAGAGTCATTATGAAAATGGTCATGGTCTTACAATGTGACAATGACAACCAGTTTTAGAATAAAATAATTCTTTTTAGGAACTATATAGATTTGTAGAGCCCGAGATGACGTAGTTTTTGATCATAAAGTGATTCATGTCTAACTTCACTTTCGAAAAACATCTTACAAAAATATGAAAAATCATCTAAAATGCACAGAAACAGTATTTTTCAGTTTGTCTAATCCAATTTGAATAGCATATAACTTGAGAAAAAACTCGTAAGAAATATGAATAATATATAATTTTGTAGAGCATGAAAAACTGCATCAATCTATGTTATTAGTTTTTCGGATTGAGATTACAATAGAAAAAAAATTATGAATATCACAGTTATCATCCGAACCACTGAAAACCTACGAAAGATCCATAGACCTCTCCCAGACAAAGTGGTCTTGGAAAAAATTTTTTCTGATCAAGAAAAAATAAAACCAAATAAATGAAACCTCGCGGTGCCCTGTACAAAGAAATGATTCAAATATCGATCAAAAAAATGAAGCTGAGAGGTCTATATAAGAAGATTATTCATCAATCAGAATAAATGTACGAACAATGTCAGTAAATAGCAGATTCTCATGATCGTAATATATTTTCTAGATCAAGAGATTAAACAACAAAAACAAAATCTAACTGCGTATTTGACATTATTAGGAGTAAGAAGTGACATTTAGAATATATTTAAATAAGCTGCTTTACTTGATAAAGGTATTTATCATCTAGAATAAGACAATGTGGCTAAGAGTTGCGTTAGCGTTGTTGATCATTGAGAAATGCATCTCGATTTCAAGTCCTATTCAACCAATGGTCAATTACAAATATTCCATCGAACTTGAAGCTAATATAGCGGATCTTTGGTGGACTATTGATGATGTTCGTAAAGAAATTACATTTGATTTGCATATAAGAACTACGGGCTGGATTGCGTTAGGTATTAGCCCAGGTAGATTTATATTTCAGTTTTGAGTTTGATTTGTTAACTATTTTAATTTAGGTGGAGGAATGACAGGTGCTGATATAGGAGTCGGATGGGTTGATAGTCAAGGACAAGTTAATTTTCAAGTATAACAAATTGTTCTTTCTTTTATATTTTTGCTCTTTACTTATGGATTGATTTAGGATCGACATGCGTCTGGTTTTTTTCGACCAATGATTGATAATACAACAAATGATTGGTTTGTCCTGCACGGTCGAGAATTGAACGGATGGACAGCTATTCAATTTAAACGTTTGCTTGATACATGTGATTCAATGGATTATCCAATTAAGGTTTCATTTCATTTAAATAGATTTATCAAGTGTTTTCTTCTCAAAGAAAGACTAAATCTTTTTGAATAGATTTCGATTAGGTACGATAGTTTATTTCTGCATAACAATTTGGTTGAACTTCGAAAAATATTTGTTAACACTAAAAACTAAATCTCGTTATAGTTAATAGGCAAAATACAATTGATAAAATTTATTAATTTATTCAACGAAGAAAAATGTCGATTGATTACTAAAGTTTATTTGATTATTAAAACAGATGAACACAAAGATCGATGATTTCACCGGATAGTTCCGTTAAGTCGTGAGCTGAAGCGAAATTTAGTTCGTCCAAAAAATAAAGCAATTTTAGTTAGAGTAACAAAACTATTATTCTGATCTATTGATTATAATTAGCTGAAAACTCATTTTTCTTAAGTCATCAGTTTAAGAGTTCAACACCCTCTTGTGACTCCAGTTTTCGTTTTTTATCGACATTGTATAGTCTTAAATGGTATCTATCTACTGAATGCATTTTGAGGTCCAAAAATTGCCTTCAAACGATAAAAAATTCGAGAAGAAATGAAATTTACATAGTGGAAACAGCGAAATGTGCATTTTTCTGAAAATATTTTCCTGAAAAGAATGAAGAAATCTTCCAGTTTCTTTGATCAAATGCGTCTGACCAAGCTAAAGCATGTTTCACATATAATAAACAATGTTTAAAACGGCTACATTTTTATTTTTATTTCAAAAAAAATATTGTTCTACTGCTTTTTGGTAAATCTTACAAAAAAAAGTTCTACTAAAACAAATGTGACTTTTAGAGTACTTTAGTTATTTTAGTTTTTCTTTTTTACCGAAAGGCAAAAATAGAAAATTTCCAATCCAAACAATGTTTGGTACCTCTAAAACACATCGTATACTACATCTTGAAGAAATCGAATTAAAATTGGGGCCATTTTTTGCCATAATGATTCTAGTATTGCATAAAAGACATCATTTAAGAGTATTATATCTGTAGCAACTTTTGCTCTACTCATCAAGATCTATGCATCCTAGAAATTATAAATTTTTCAGATGACTTATTCTTCAGAAAATTCTAAACTGAGGTACTTTTTTTTATCTCTTGATTCTTGTTTAATAGAGTGGAACAAATATTTTGATATATGCATATGGTCTTGTTGATCCCGATGAATCTGAGATAAACTATCATGAAACTCGTCGAGGTACACGTATGGTTCCACTTCAATCTTATAATCAACCACCATCGGATGATAAATTTGCTGGACTCGATTATTTTGAACTTCGTTTAAACAATGTTAGTGAAACGATTACATTAAATATTTTAATTTAATTATTTTTTTTAAGTACATTGTTCCATCAAATGATACAACATATTATTGTAAAATTTACAAAGCACCAACGTCTTATACAACAAAACGACATGCTATTGCTGTATGTAATAAACCATTTGATGATACTAAAAACTTTCTTTTTATTTGAATAGTACAAAATATTGATTGATGATGAAAATTCCGATCTCGTTCATCATTTACTTTTACATGAATGTAATCCTTCATTTACTTTTGATGATAACAATCTTCCTTACGGAGTTTGTGATGAAATTAATGATAAAATCGAGCCTTGTTCAGCTAGTATAGCTACTGGATGGGCAGTTGGTGGTGATCATGTAATATCAACAATTACATTCAATGTTAAATAATCAAATAAATATATTTTAGTTGATTGAATTTCCTGAACAAGCTGGATATCCAGTTGGTTTGAATTCTCCAAATAAATATTTTATGGTTCAAATACATTATGATAATCCACAACAAACTTCAAGTACAGCAAGATTTTGTTTTAAAAAAATAAAAACAATTTATATTCTAATTAGATCGTCGTGATAGTACTGGAATTCGATATTATCTTGGTAATCAACTTCGTCAGCATGATCTTGGATATTTAACATTTGGCACAGTTTCAAATCTTCTTGGTCTTGCTATTCCACCAAAAGTCGAAAAATTTATAGTTGATTCTTATTGTCCAAGTAATGTCACTCGTGTATGTTTCAATGCAAACTAATAAATAAATAAATAAATAAATAAATAAGAAAATCTCCTTTTTAGACTATTCCAAAATCGGGTATAACACTATTATCTTCTTTTCCACATACTCATTTACAAGGTATTGTAAAAGATTATTATAGTTGATTAAATGATTTTTCAGGATATCCTCGGAAACTCAATTAAGTACTATACTCGTTTTCAAAAACATACAAAGGACGTTGTTGTTTTCTGAGTAAGTTTTGATAGAGGCTAGATAGGGATCTGTGGTTTTCATTATTGAAAAGAGGATATGAAATTGCATTAAATCTTGAATATTAGACTTTTCTGAAAATTTTATTCAGGATATCTCGCGAAGCTTTTTCAAAAAAACCGAGACTTTTAAATAGATTTGGAAACTGGATTATTTGTCGAAAAATCAGAAAATAAATTAATTTTTCGTGAAAAATTTGCCGATAACACGTAATAAAGTTTTAATAACTCGTTTTAGTTGCATGTTTCAACATCGAACTTTCGTACATTCCTAACCTTCAGATAATAATTCTAGTGCACTACTAAAAGTTAAAATACTAAACCTTTTGTATCAAGCAATGCGTTGTTTTCAAAAAAAAAACTTGGTAGAAGAGCCCGAGAAAACTTATTAGAAATGTCTAATATTCAAGATTCAATACAGATTGATTTCCTCTTTTGAACAATGAAAACTCGAGGTCTCTATCTAGTTCCTATCAGAAATTAGTCAAAAAACAGCTACATCCATTGTGTTTGAAAACGACTTTTGTACGAGAGATAGAGGAAAGATAAAGACCTAGGAGCTATCGAGCACCTCTCGATATTAAGTGGCGTCTAGATGTACAAATTCTTTAAGAAGCTCTAGCATTCCATCTCATTTATTTTCACAATTTCTAATAAAAAAAAGGTTTTTGGAAAAACCTAAAACGATTTCGTAGGCTTGAGAAAAGACTTTTAGAGTATAAATAAATAAAAAAACATGACTCACCACATCCTTTTAATCTTCTTTTGATAAAATCCGGACAACTAGACATTTTGAAGTGACTATAGTAGCAAAGTTTCATAACTACCAATGAATAATTATGACCCAATTCCTTCCGTTTTCGTATGAGCAAAAATTCATCCGAAGCACTACGAGTTTGTGTTTGCATGGTATCCACATGTGATGTAACGACCCTACATGTGTTTTCTCATGAGATGGGATAATTAGACGTTTTATTGGTATATTAGAAATGAAAAATATGTAAAAACATGTATTTGATATTATAGAATTGATTCTCTTTTTATTTGCTTCTGTGTAATATTAAGTATCCTTTGTATCCGTGGATATCGTTACATAGGTTATGAAGATATCAATTATATATTCGTTTAAAGGTAGATTTAAGATAATAAAGGTACGACAGTGTATCATCTATATTTGTATTTCATTAAGTTTTTTGAAATATTCATAGAAAACATGATATGTTACGATCAGAAATATTTAAATTTATTTTCAATTTAGGTGTTAGTTTATGGACTAAATTAATTCGTAATAAGACAGCTGTTGAATATCTATTTAATGCTGAATCATATCATTTTAATTATCAATTTGAAAATCGTCTAGCAAAACCAATACAACTTTATCCAGTAAAAAAGAATGATTGAATTTTTTTACGTTTTAAATTTTGTTACTGTTTTTAAGGGAGATGAGTTTGCTACTCGATGCATTTATAATACAATGAACAAAAATGAAATTACACTGGTTTGAATATTATTTATTTTATTAATATTGACAAAAAAAAAGAATTTTTAGGGTGGAGAAAAAACAAGAGAAGAAATGTGTTTACATTTTTTCACTTATTATCCTCGAATGGATGATCTTTCTGTATGTTACACGATGAATACAGTTCAATCATTACAAGATATAATCAATTCTTCGTAATTTTTTTTTTCATTGAATAGAATATTGAAAATTGAGTTTAATTTATTAAATAGAGCACCATTTGATTATTTTGCTGCCAAAAAATGGTTCCTCGATTTGAAATGGACACCAGAATCGGCTAAACAATGGCAAGAATATTACAATAAAGCTCCACGTGTAGCAGTTTTTGCTGGAGCAGGACAATTTGAGGCGGAACCTCTTGATACTCTACCAGAATATCAAGATTTTAAACCAGTCCAGTGCCAAAAATAAATTATCACGAGTAACAATGCTGCTTTTATTTATCGGAAAACATAGTTTTTTATCAGTTTTTATTATTTTAGCATTCGTTGTTTAAACACAAAATGATCAAATTAAACATTGAAGGTTTCGCTTTTCCGATAAAAATTCTTTCATTCAATATTTTACTCACCAACAATCACACAGGATTTCATAATCGTTATATCAGTTTATTGTTCTCATATTATCATTGTTTTCATCATATTTTGATACTGATTGACGAATGTTTTGTTGATGAATATCTGATGATATCGAAGGTATTGTGGAAAAAATTCATATTTTATGATTTAAAGAATACTAAAAGCAGTTATTATCAGTATCATCAATAAAATTAGAAATCGGCGCTAATCATACTAATGACAAAATCAAAAAATCAATTTCTGATCATCAACATTGTGTAATAACACAACACTATTGCCTCTTTCAACTATTTCTGTAATCACTGTCAGATATTATATTAATATCGGTATTGGAAATACATTGTTGTGTTATTTGTGGTATTCCATATCTATACCCTTGATTGCACTTGGTTCTATAATCACTAGAAGATATCATATTAACTATATTATAAAATCATGTATTAAAAATGATATTACACGATTATTTCATGCTCATAAATGAAAGAAAACAAATCTTCATCAATTCAATGATTAGAGTCATGTAGCAAGACGGACAATAATTTATGTACAAGAAGATAACATCCAAGTTATAATGCCAAACAAGTGATTATCGAAGGGATTTCAGATATTGCTTTAAGGAATATTTAATATGGAATAGTATCTAAGAACTAATATGAATAAGTAAAGTTTCAGCATTGCATAGATTGAAAACTGTAATCCAATAAAAATGGAAGAAGGGCGTGGGTGTGAGTGTCTGATTCTATTCTTCTGATATGCACACGCACCCACATACCCACACCTTATGTTTTGAATATTTGAGATTGAATTTTCATGTTCTCTTGATTCTATCAGATCATTAGAAAAAAAAGAAACATCTAGAACTCTTTCAATACTCCATCATATAATCTTCTGCTATAATTTCAAATAGAATTCTTTATACAATGTATTGATTACCTTTCAATTTTAAGAACAATGAGCATGAAGAAAATGTTTGTCAACTTCAAATATGGAAATAAAAAATATAGTAAAATAAATTTCTTGAGATTTTGCTGTTTCTATTTAGATAAGACGAAGAAAAATAAATTTAAAAATAAAATGTTATGTTCTTGATCTTCTTTGTGTTTTTCATTATTTGTGAATTTCGTTAATTTTGAGAATTTAATAGTATTGAATGGAATATCATCGGCTGCTAGATGGTACTCAGGAATGTAATGATATAAATATAATGTAATCATATGTTAATCCTTTGTGGCCAATGACACTAAATAGCCAATTAACAGACTTAATCAAAGATAATTAAAGAAAATATAACAAAAATGCCTGCGGTCACAAATAATAATCTTATGTTTTCCAGTATTATAAAGTCTTTGACCTTACTCGCTTTGTCTTGATAGAATTATCAGATGCACACCTATATGTTCACGATAGAATGAATTAAAGATGAAGTTCTTTTTTTTTATTGATACTGCTTTTATGAATTTATATAAACGCTATTGTGAACTATAGAATAATTTCATATGACGCATTTCATTACAATCAGTGTATTTTTGATTGAATTTTCTTCCTTAGTATGTTTTGACTCATGGCGTTAGAAGAATCAGTTATATAGTTTCTTTTGATTGAAAAACTAAATCAAAGAATCATTCTATCACATTGACAAAGATACTGACAAGAATAACTGGTCGAATATCGTTTTACACAAGTACAGATACTGAAATATTTTGTTTCATTGTTTTAAATGTAAATTATCATTTTTAGAATATGAAATTTTCGATCATTCACATCTCAACAATTCTGCCATTGATCATCATCTTGAAACATTCTCAAATAATGTTAGTTTCATTAGATCTGGTTTTTTTTCTTCATACTGTAATAGATTGTTTTATTTATCACGATCATTCGTCAATAAAGAAAACAAGATCTAAAAGCATCATTCGTGCGACTATTCGACCATTACACATTTGTTAGTCTATCAACAACAATTCTATGCAAAGGAATAATAATTTATTTTCAGTCAGACTTTTATTATTAATATTATAATATAGATGTTCGAAACAATATGTAGTAGCCTTAATTATTAGTATTCTTCTTGTTATTGCGGTTGTCATCACAACACTTGGGTGTGGGTGTGGATGTGGTCTTTTCCTGAATAACAACGACACCCACCCACACCCTATCTTCGAATTAAACGGCGATCAGAGTGGGTGAGGGCGTATTTTACTGATGCCCCATCCACACTCACTCTCACTGCTTAACTCCTGCTTATTCTATCACTGTGTAGTTCTCAAATTATTGTGCGCAAAGGGCATTTTTTTTCAGATGAATCAAAATGAAATAAGACGAAAACAAGCATCAGTCATGTCGAAACTTAAATTATTCATATTCATCAGATGGTGTCTTGAGAATAAGTTCGTGCTCGTGTCCTTTTTCCTTGCATAGTGTACAAAGATCATAATTTGAACATGTGACGCAATAGAATCGTTTTCCGATCAAGGGCATCATGCCACACCCATCACATGTTATGGACGGCCAAACATAATCATTGAGCGAATGTTCCACTGTTTCTCCACGACACCATGTCTTAACAGCTTCTGTCTTCTTCTTTTCGATATCTCGCTGGCCAAATTCGGTGAGCACTTCTCCACTAGGCTTTAATATGATCAAAGTTGGAATCTTATGAACAGAAAAATAGGCTTTCAATCGTAATTTCGTCCCAATATTATCAAATGACAAGGCTTTCCAAGGCATTCGTTGAAAGTGTTGATAGAATTTTGCTTGACTATCATCCGCTGAGATGAAGATAATTTCGAATGATAAATTGATTTCGATAACTTTCGCATAAACTTCTGCTAAATCTGAAGTAAAGATTTCGCTCGATGGTGACCAGAGTGCAGAAAAATAGAGACCTACATATTTGTATTCAAGTGATGAGAAAGGCACTCGTTCGCTATTTGTATTAATCAAATCACTACTATCAAATAATTCTTTCATCGAATAGATGTTTTTCGGCGATAGAAAATGAATTAGCTCGTGCTCGTGCCGATTTTGTTCAGTCATCTGTTGATTACATTGCCCACATAGATCATAGCCACATTCCCGATTCAAACAACCAAAGCGTTCGCCAACAATTGGATTCATGTAACATAAATGGCAACGAATATTCAACCAAATATGCTCACGATCGTTTTGGGGCTCCCGTGTCCAAAAGACAGTTTTTCCTTCTACCCATAGATCGATGGCATCCAATAATTTAAACTCTTCAATACCTTTCGAGGTCAAAACTTCGCCATTGGGTTTCAAGATGACCAACGACGGAATATCTTCAATCCGATAGCGTTCGTTCAGAATCTCAGCTCGTTCGCGATCTAATCAACAAGAGAAAAACTGATTTTTTCACACTCGTCTTTGTCATGTCACAGTGACGCGGGTTCATTTGCGAGTAAACGAAAAAAAAGGAGAAAAGGGGATGTGCAGATGAAGCACCTACCAAGCTTATTTGATCTATGACTGTGATTCGTTTTCGAAATCATATTGAACAAAGTTTAGTTTAAATGATTACCTTCGAATGGAATTGCTTTCCACGGCATACATTGGTAAAACTCATTAAAATGTTCTTCATATAGATCAGTTGAAACAAATATAATATCGAATGGTAAATTGCTATTTTTGCTCAGAGCAGTTGAGTATGCTTGGACTAATTTAGTCGTGAAACTGCGACATTGACGACACCAATACGCACTAGAAAAAAATGATCGGAATATTTACTATACGTTCAGCACTGTGTCAGATTTACGAAAAATAAAGACCAATGGTTTTATGTCTCAATTCATCTGCGTCCGCGTACGTTGATTTGTTACCGTGCAATATTTTTTTTCCAACCAGTTCGTTGATGATTTCCATTTTGCTGTTCTACACCGACGTGAGTTGTCAACAATCATGTTTTTTTCTCTCTCAATCAAGCTTTTTAATGCTATTGTTCTTTCGCAATGCATGTGCTTAATGAGAGCGACGTTGTGTCAATATGTTTCCAATGAAACGTGAGAACAAATCAATGGTGTATTTTTTTTTGTTTTAATGTGTTGCACGAACAAAAGCGCTACCAATAGTTACATAAAAGCATATAGTGGATCAGTGAGTATGCTATCCATTCAGAAATAATTGATCCAAACTGAAATTATTAGTTGAAAAATTATTTTTTATATTCTCAAATGGATCCAGAATCATCATTAAACGATCTAAAGCAATGTTTCTTTCGTTTATAAATCTACAGAAGCACTCTTTTCTGCTTCTGATTTGCAAATGATCAATGAGTCATAGAGGTCAGAGAGCAAGGCATTGGAGAATGAACATATTTTAGTTTCTATTTGAATCATTCTCTTTTTTGTAGTAATTTTTTCATCGAACACGAGGCCTATTGGATCTTTTTCCGAATACTATGCAGGTCGAAAATGGTTCAGAAATGAGAAAAAAATTTATCTTAACCATAAGATATAACGATACAGAGTCAGAGATCGAACCGTCGATGAACATTATTTAGGAATTGAAATCCTTTTTTTTATCCACATCTCTATTATGGAGCAACGTCTGAACATGAAGTAGAAAAGACGAAAACTTTTATTTTGCTTTTTCCATTTTCTCAGCCGAAAATCTTTCAAGAAAAAAAAATCCAAGTCTTCGCTTTTCTTCTTCGAATTGCAATAGTTAGGAGCCTTTTTTTCCTGCGTCAACTTCAAAATCCAAACTGCAATTCTTATTTATATATAAAAATCTTTTAGGAGCGTAATTTAGAGACTGTTCAAAATTGTGAATTATTTAAACCATTACGGTTTTGTATCTTTTTTTTTTAAGTGCTTT